AATTAGTTCTAGAGGAGATGTTCAGTTCTGAGGTGGACCAATGTGAGGTGTTCCTAGTCAATGTTGCCATCAGCAACGCTGACTGATCTAGTGCATCCTCTTGCGATCGGGTCATCCGACCAAGTTGGATGTTTTAGTGGTTGGGTGCTTTCTTCTCATCCTTATGCTTATGGACCTGAAAATATTCACATGGAATTGTCAAGGAGCCATCAATCCATACGTTAAATGTGTGGTTCAGGCATTTGTTAAGTAGTAAAACCCTTCCATTATGGCCTTAGTTAAACTTCATACTGTTGGAGAGATGGCTGATAAAGTCATCCATAAACTGGGCTTTAGATTCTCACATCGGATCGAGGTGCAGGGTTTCACTGAAGGTATTTGGCTCATTTGGAATGATCTTTTGCGTGTCGACATCCTCATGAATAACTGTCAATTCCTTCATACTAGATTTCACTGGAGTGAGAGAGAGCCAGTCGTTCTGCTTACTGCGATCAATAGGAGTCCTTAGGCATATAAATGCCACTATCTTTGGCCTCACATGAGCCAACTTGTAGTACCATGACGGAGCCATGGTTGATTGCTAGAGATTTTAATGCAATCTCGGATAACTCCTATTGGAAAGGGGTGCTACTAGAGGGAGTAAGTGTTGTCTCCTCTTCTCTTAGTTTTTGAGCCACAACTCTCTCTCGATAATCGATTATATGGGGCCGAATTATACTTGGCAAAAAGGTACCCTGCTCCAATGACTTGATAGGACCATTGCCAATTTGTCTTGGTTGACTGTATTCCCTGATACTTTGATGCACCACCTGACCAAAATACAGTCTAATCAATGTCTCTGCTGATTAATGTTAGAGTAAGTCAATCCCAAAACCGATGCCCCCCTCCCTTCTGATTTCTCGAGGCTTGATTTACCCATCTCAATTTTCCTTATCTCGTCCAGAGTAGTTAGAAGGGCGGGGATTCTTTTCAGGTCACTATTGACAATTTCTCGATATGTGCTCAGGATTGGAATATCATATTTTTTTGCCATACATTTCATAATAAGAAACGCTTAATAACTCTCATTGCTGGCATCCAAAGGACACTGGAAAATGGCATGTCTGAGTACCTCAATAAATTTGAAGAGTCCTAGTGCCAAGAGCTGAAGACCATTTTGCTACATGAAGAACCTTACTGGTTGCAAAGAGCTATATATGACTTCATTGCCCTCGGCGATAAGAATATAAGTTATTTTCATGCGCGCACTATGGCACAGCATAGACGAATTAGGATTACTATGCTTCAGGACAATGCAGGCAATTGGATTTCTAATGAGGGTCAACTTAAACTCATGGCCTCCAAGTTCTTCAAATGCCTGTATTATAAGGATACGTTTAGTAGTTGCATCTTTAAGACCCGTGGTAGGTTTTTAATGATTTCTCCTGGAATGTTTATCGCCTTGGGGAGGCCGGTCACCAAAGAGGATATCCATGCGGCTTTATTTGATATGAAACCGCTTAAGGCACTGGGTCCAGATGGGTTGCATGCGATATTTTGTCAACATTATTGAGACACCATTGGCAACTCGGTTTGCAAAATGGTGATGAAAGTCTTCCATGGTGAGGATATAGAAGAAGGCCTCAATAGAACTTTAATTACTTTGATCCCTAAGATGATTAAACCCACGAATATTAAGGACTTCTACCCTATAACCCTGTTTAATGTCTGCTACAAAATTATCATTAAAGTCCTTGCTAACAAGCTTAAAAGTCTTATGCCTAACCTGATCAGCGAGACCTAAATAAGTTTTGTGAAATGCCATAACATATCGGATAATATCATTTTGACACACGAAGTTATACACTTGATGAGATAAAAAAAAAGTAAAGCCGATTGGATGGCGATCAAAGTGGATACGAAAAAGCGTATGATAGAGTCAGCTGGGATTTTATTGACGATATCCTTTATGACGTGGGTCTTCCGTA